TTTTGATTATAGCTGTCCTAGTGGTATCATGCAGTTTTTGCTTTGCATTTCCATGGTGACTAATGATGTCGAGCATCTTTAAATGTGCTCATTGGTCGTTGGTTTATCTTCTTTGGAGAAATGTCTATTCAGATCCTTTGCCCATTTTTAAGTAGGGTTATTTGTCCTTTTATTGTTGAGTTGTAATAGTTTATTTTGTATTCAAGATCCAAGTTCCTTACCAGATATATGATTTGCAAATATTATCTCCCAATTTGTGGGTTGTCTTTTTACTTCGTTGATGGTATCCTTTGACCAAAAACAACAACAACAACAAAAAACCTTTTAACACTAGAAAATGTGAGAAAAACAGTGGGAAATCTTCAATCATATTTAGTGTTTGGAAATGAAATTTCCAGCAGCTAACATGTGCTGAAATTGTCCCCCCCCCGCCATTCAATTTACACCAAAGTCAGGCTGGTTAAATTCTCTATATTGTGCAGTTTTGAGAAGCAGGCTGTTTTCACTATGGAAAGGTTAAGAACTTTTTATTGTAGTAGTGTAGTAGTGTAGGAAGAATTTTCAAGGAAATGAGTTTTTCCATTGAGGAGCATGTCATCTGTGACTTAAAATATTGTATCAAGTTGATCACCTTAAAGAGATGTTCCTTAGTTTCTGGACTTGGTTGAATTTTTTTTTTTTAAAAACAGTATCTGTAGCATTTCATTTCACATTTCATAGTGAGTTCCCACTGGCTTCGATGAAAGGAAAGAATGTAGCCAGGAAAATGAGACTTCACAAAATTAAAGGTTATGTATACACACACACACACACACACACGCACACACATGCACACACTTACAAGGAAGTTTATTAAAAAAGAATGGGAAGTTCAGTATTCGCAGAGACCATTTATAGCCTATTGGTTAACAGATTGCTCTAGTTAGTTATAATAAAGACAGAGTGTGTTAGAGAGGGAATTTGGTATTTTCCCTATAGTGATGTTTGAAATATTACAGGTATACAGTGATGAGTTTAAACTATAAAGGAAAGAGGTTTGTATCAAGAGTTGAGAGGCAGAATAATTGGGAAGGAACTTGATTTGGTAGTTATTTTGGGAGGACCTTATCGTGTATTTATTGAAGTCAACACTAAGGTTTTGTCTAGATGTAAGGCATAGTTTTTGGGGGATGAAAGAGAAGGAGGAAATTCTTACATATCAGATAGAGAAGGGAGACGGATTCCTATTATGTGATGGAGTGGTATCCAGAGACTAGAGAAGACTATATGTTAGCTGTGACATTTGAGTTGGGCCCAGAAAAATTTCTGCACGTGAATATAGATGAGTAGAGAAGGTATTTTAGATAGAGATAGCACCATAAACCTGAGAGTCAGAGAGAAAGCAACTTGAGCTAGCAGAGTTAAGAAATAAATAATAGTGTTTGAAGTGATTGTAATTCCAAGCTAAGGAGTTTGGCCTTAATTCATTAAGGACTGCCCATCTCGTGAAGATTTTGAACCATGAAACTGACATTGATTGATCCCATAAATAGTTACCCAGAGCATTGCTGGTATTATATTAGCCTTTGAGTGGTAGCTCGACTAGGACAGAGACAGGGTCCAACATCAGTGACAGCAGGTGCTGTCCATTCACAGTCAAGGTCTAACTTAGTTGCTTTATAAAAACTTTTCATCCTGATAATGATGGTGATAGCTACCACTTACCGATCAATTTCTATGTTGCATACACCATACTAAGTGACTCATCCTCACAGTCACTCTGAGGTATATATATTATCAATCCCTATTTTACAGATAAGGAAATTGAGACTTAGCAGAGGTTAAATACTTTGCTCCAGGTAGCCCAATTAATTAGTGGCAGAGCTGAGATTTGGACCCCAGGGCCATCCTGTTCCAGAGCCCATTCTACTGATACCACTACATGCTTCCCTGTAGTGCTTCTCCAGTGATGTTATACTGCCAGGGACTCCCACAAGCCTCTTTGCGTTTGTTTTCAGGGAGGGTGTTCCTTCTCTGCTGAGCTCCCAATTCTTGTTATTACTGCAGGTGTTCCAGGCCTGGGAGGATCTTCTTTTTGAAGAAAGTGAGCTGAGATGCAGGGTACTGTTCAAGCTTTATTAAAGAAAGAAATCTGCCGGGCTGTACTCAAAATGGAGGACAGCCTGGGGCTGCCCTGAAAAAGGGGGACAGCCCCAGGTGTGGGGGTGGTAGAGCTTATATAGGTATGTTGGTGCCAAGAACTGGGTGATGTAATTCCAGGGTGAGAATTGAGTTAGGTAGTGGGAATGGAGAGTTCTGCGTGTGGGAAACGCCGAAAGTTACATTTTCTCCAAAACCATGAGGCTTCTTGTAAAAGATAATGGGCACGGGGAGGGGAGGATGTGGACGGCACCATTTTGTACTTGGGCTTGTCTAAAATGGCACTGGTTTGTGGGAAACGCCGAAAGTTACATTTTCTCCAAAACCATGAGGCTTCTTGTAAAAGATAATGGGCATGGGGAGGGGAGGATGTGGACGGCACCATTTTGTACTTGGGCTTGTCTAAAATGGCACTGGTTATGTTGCAGATCTATTATTCCTGCCTTTTAAGTATAGGAAAAAGGGAAAAAGGGCAGAGGTCTCATTCTTCTGAGGCTACTTCCTGCTGGAGATGGGAAAAGATATGGAAAAATAAAAGACTTATGTTGGCGGGCAAAGCAATTAGGTGGCGGGGTATTGGTTCCGTGTGGGGAGACTGTTCCTCCAGGGAAGGGTTGCTGATTCTGAGGGGCTGATATCCTCCTCACACAAACAATTCGGTGAAAGCCTGTTTACGTTCTTGCAAGAAATTAGAGAAACACCAAAAGGGACAGGGACCAAAAAGTAGGATGAGGCACAGTTAGGGGACCTAGTAGGGGCATAAGCCATGGTATCCAAGGGTTCGGTGAAATGGTTTAAGTTGTTTTGGATCACCCCGGGCTCCTTTATGTAATAACAGCATTCCTCCCCCAGGAAGAGGCAGGTGCCTTCCTTCTTGGCCATTCTTGGTGGTCGGCCCTGCCAGTTTTTTTCCCTGGGCTATGGGGTCATTGGAGGTTTGGTGTCCTCTGCTGTGTCTAACCCCAACCTCCTTTGGGAGTTGTGCAGCCTCAATAGCATGTTACTACAACAATAGCAGGTTACTACAGCATAACCTGCCCGAGGGATGGGCGTGGAGGTGGCACTCCCATCTATGAACCGTGTAATGGGATGCTGGGAGATCTGTGGAAAGGGATTGAGAAAGGTCTAAAGCCTACATGCAGTTGTGTTCTAAGGGTCATGAGTGTTTTGGGATGAGAGTGGCTAGATTTAAGGAAAGGGCAAGGTTTGAAGGAAAACTGGGAATTCTCTATGAAAGTAAGGTAAATAAGTTGTAGGAGGGAAGGGGAGAGAATTGACTTGGCTTTATGGCTGAGAAGGTCTTGACTGTTTGTTGTCCAAAAATTAGTTTAGAGCTTTCTTGTGCTAAAAGGGTGGCTGCTGCCAAGGCCAATAAACAGGGGCCCATTCTCGAGCTATGGTGTCTAGTTGTTTAGAGAGGTTTGTAACCAGGGAGAAAATATCTCCTGCCTTTTGTCCCAAAATCCCAACTGCCAATCTTTGGGTTTTGATGATGTATAAGATAAAAGGATGAGATAGGGAAGGATGAGATAAGTTTGAGAGAGAGAGAGAGAGTGAGCTGGGGCTGTGAGGAGAGTGGCTTTAAATCACTGAAAGGGAGAATGAATGGGCTTTGTGGGATCTAAAGGAATGGCAGGATCCCCTTGCTGCTCCATAAAGTGGTTTTGCTAGCATGCCAAAGTTAGGAATCCATAGGTGAAGATACCCTGCAAGCCTTTGCGGTAGGAGTAGGGAGTTCAGAAATTAGCTCTTGTGATTCGCTGTTATTTCTCTGGTATTGGGGGTGAGGGGAACTCCCAAGTAGGTGACTGAAGGAGAAGAAATTTGGGCCTTGCTGGGGACACTCGATATCCCCTGGAGGCCAGGAAATTAAGGAGAGCAACAGTGTGGGCCTGTGAATCCTCATAGGAGGGGCTACAAAGGAGTAGGTTATTCACATATTGTATTAAAGTGCTAGAGGTTGGCGGGGAAGTTCAGATAAGTCTTGAGCTAAGGCCTGGCCAGAAAGTGGGAGCTATTCCAAAACCCCTGAGGTAGTACTGTCCAAGTAAGTTGTTGGGAATGGTGTGTGTCAGGATCAGTCCTGTACTAAATGGTATGAGCCATTAGGCTTTATAACTGGAAGGATGGGTATATTAGAAAGGCAAGTGGGTAGGCCATGAGAGATGAGAAGAAAGGAGTTTGTGTATGACAGGTTTTAAGTCTATTAGGTGTTTGTTAGTGATGGGGTACTGTGGGACATCAGGGAACAAAAAAGGGTTCCACAATTTAACAAGGATAGGGGAATGGTGCATAGCAATGGAGGGAGAAGAAGCATCCCATACTAGGGATTAACCATGTCTGAGGGGGAGGGGAAGGTGGAAGCCCCAGGGGCCAGGTCTGGGTGCGGCCTGTAACAGGAGTATTGTAGCTGGCATTAAAGCATTTAGGGTAAGAGTAGCTTTGAATTTGAAAAGGATGTCCTGTCCCAGTAAGGGGGCTGAGCATTGAGGCATTAAAAATTTGTGTGTGAATTGGGTGTGTTATAAGGTGTGGGAAAGGGGTTGAGTGATCCATGGGCAGTATTCTGATCCTGTGACCCCTAATATTGTGATAGAGGATGGAGTTGTTGGTCCTGTATATTCAGGAAGGGTAGAGTAAATGGCTCCTGTATCAATGACAAAAGAGATTGGCTTACCCGCTGTGAGGCGAGTTACCCTGGGCTCACATGTGGTGATCTCTGTGGGGGCCTGGGGCCCTGGGCATCATCAGTCCTCCTCCTGGGCAAAGCTGAGAAGTTCCAGTAGAGATGGCCGTGAAGCCAAAGGCTGTAGGTTGGGTACTGGGCCACTCCTTCTCTGGTGAGTGGCACAGTCAATCCTGCCGTGACCTTGCCATTTGCAGTGAGGACAGGTTATGACAGGCCCAGGCTGAGTGGCCCGGTTGACCACATTTGAAGCAATTCTCGGGTGGCTTGCCCTTAGAGGCAGCCGGCTTTGTAATATGTGAGCCATGGATGGCATTAGCCAGGAGCTGGTATTTGGCCTGATCTCTTTTATAGTTTTTTTTGAATATCAGGGGCTGATTGGGTAATGGAATGAGAGTGTAAGAGGGGCATGCCTGCAGGGGAGTTTGGGTCTATATGTGTGTATCTATGTAAAGCCTGAGAGAGGCGGGTTAGGAACTTGTTGGGATTTTCAGTGGATCTCTGTGTGATTTCTCTAAGCTTGTCATAATTGACTGACTTGTGAGTA